GTTCGCCCTCGGATGGTTTTCTTCTCCACCTTTGTGAACTTAGTGCCCGACCTCACCGGTCCTGTAGGAGGCTCCATCAGGTTGCCACTGACAACAGGAGAAAAGGATGAAGTTAGTTTTTTATCCACTCATAACTTTGATTCTGCAGCTATAACGCATGCTAGCTGAAGGTGGTATCTCACCTGTAGTTGATCACATCCGCACAGCCGAGTCTCCACTCCAGCATCTCTGTGGAAAACTCGTCGGTGTTTCCCATGTCGGTGAATCCCACCACATAGTCCTTTGTTTTTCCGTCGATAAGCAGGCACATGGTGGGAATGACTTTGATCCGCAGCCTGTCTGTCAGAAACGGGGCCTTATCCACGTTCAGTGTGATGAATTTGGTCTCAACGTGCTTCTTTGCCAAGATGGTCAAGTGTTTGTCGAGGATCTTACACCTACATGTAGGGGACAGAAGAATTTAACAGCCGGATGACAACGCACAAAAGTTACTGACATTTAAAACAAAGAGGAGACCTGACATTAAAGAAGAGTTATAGCTGAACCAATTGAATGGTCAAAATAAAACTAGAAAAAACATGTTCAAAATGGTACACCTCTGTCACTTCATTGATGTACATATACTCCAGCGATGGACTGACCTGAAGGTGGAGCCTTTGTAGAAGTGGCAGACGACGTTCTTGCTGTCTTTGACCTCGCCGAAAAAGTCTTTCTCACTGGAGATCTCTCTGTACTCTCCGTGGCCTTTATTCAACCACTCCTTCAAAAACAAGAATACTAGGGTGAGGAGCAGAACGATGAAATATAATGACTGGCTTTCACATCCAAGCTTCCTCCCCCCCCCCCGATATAAGATCCATATATAATCCTGCTGTTTAGACCAACTCCAAAACAACACTTAGTTTAACAACAAAAACACAATGCTTCCCAACGTGGTCTTTATGAAAAGCTCAAGTACTTTTCCAAATCTTTCAAATAAAGAAGGGGAGATTCTGAGGCTTGAAGGGCTCTGAATAAAACTGATGACAAACAGTTTAATAAAGTCTCTGTGAAAAAACATGTTTCACTGATAGACCCCTCCACACCACGAGGGGTGTGTATGTGTATGTGTGTGTGTGTGTGTGTTTACAGGATCCAGTGCTGTGGGGCCGGCGTTTTGCCTGATGAGCTGCACCTGGGTCGGGAAGCCTACAAGAGGAGAGCGAACCGGGTTTGTTCGCTCTCTCTCATTCCTCTCGTGTCGCGGCTGTCTTTTTGGTGTCCACTAAATAAAGGATTGTTGTACTTTCAGACCCCTCGTCTCGCATCCCAGATTTTTGATGCAGCCCAAGAGCCGGGTTGTAACACTGATTTCTGATTATCCAACTATGTCTTTCTCACAAGTCCACACAACTGCAGAAATCCTGTGACTACTTGAATAGGTTTCATATTCCACAACCACCGTCACCCTGACATTTGGATTTCTCAAGGCTTTTTGGAAACATTTGGCATGATATATATACACACACAACATAGGTTTAGTTTGTCTGCCCTTAGAAAAACATACCTGCTTCTGTTTCTGGGCTTTCTTAAGCGCCTCTAACCGCCTCTCCTTCAGTCTCTCCAAATCATCTTCATCAATTTCATTCAGTTTGCTCATCTGTGCATCCAACTTCTCCTCCACCACCTTGGCGGTCTGCTCCAGAACCTTTGACAGGATGTCCATCGATTGGTGGGCCATGGTTGCTCTGTGTGGATCTCTCTCTGAATGTAGGGAGGGAAAAGAACAGATAGTGTAAGCCGAGACAGGAGGTCAGAAACAAATAAACAATAAGACAACAGATTACATTTCTCCTGTCCATACCGGCCTACGACGTGCCTCAGTGATACAAAAGAAGCAAACTATTTTCCCTTTGAAAACACACAGGAAACTGCACACTCTGTTTCGTGTTGTTAAATCTTTAAGGTTGTTTTCGGGGCTGTTTGTGAGGATGTTGAATAGCATTTTGCTACACTGAAGTCTGTTTCTAATATTGAGTCTATCTTCACTGACTACAACCCGTCGGACATACTGTTGAATGACTAAACAAAAAGTGAACATAGTAGTTGAAGTTTTTAGCAGGGTAGTGATTCAGCTAGGTTTATCTAATCAACTGTAATAAATGCCTGCTTATCAAATGCCCTAACATGAGCAACGCAGCATGTAATGTAACTTTACTGTCCACCAGTCATTGAGGAGAAACAATATACCTAAAGTCACAGTGTTTTATGTATAGTTTAGTTTGATCATTTTCCATGTAAACGATTCAAATACCTACATAAAATATCTGTGCCAACAATGCTTTAACAGATGAATGCTTTATGAACACACCCCTGGGCTCTGTGAAATGCCTTCATGACTTAAAGCATTCGTCTGTTTGCATTTCACATATTTATTGTGACTATAAACAGTATTTTATTATTGTTTGTTTTTTTTTACTATATATTCAGTTTTTAGCTCATCTTAGTCTAATTTGAGATTTTCATTGTCATACATAAACTATAGCTACTGTGCATATGACAATAAAACCTTTGAATCTTTACACACGTTATAACAAATAGAAAATATGTAAGCAACAATGGCAAATGTAATCCAGGTAACATATCCTTTCCAGACTCAAATAAACCCTTAAGAAAGTTGTTGACATTTTATCAAACAACGGTAGCAGATGCCATAGACGACAGAACGTTGCTTCTCGTTAAATGCTGCTACCGACATAGACAGTGGTCCATTGCACCATGGATGTATAAAGAGAACATTACATTGAACCTTAAGCTTGAGTATATAAGAAGTGAAGCATTGAGGGTCATTTCCTTGATATCCAGAGAATTCAAACAGCTGTCATTATGGTCGCCACTTAAATAACTGCTGGTCATTTTAACAAATTAGAAACCTTTCGAATATAAGAGACTGTTCGACCCTTTGTGACTACTGGGCACACCTTCTTTTCGTCGCTTGGTTATTCCCAATAGACGTACGTGAGCTTCATTACAAACTTGGTACAGTTTGTCCATTTCCGCGACATTTTTTTGCTTTAGCTTACTGTGCAGCTATTTATAACACGTCTGTCAATCGATGAATGAAGCTAACAAGTAGATATTTTCTGCCAGTCATTAAGAAAGAACCGAGACAAATGCGTGTGTTAGAATGCTAAGCTAGCTACCGTTGGCCATGAGTTTGATAGATTTACACACTCACAGGGATATCAGAAAACACGTCACACGGGTGTAAGATAGAATAAGTCAATTATGTGTTGTGTTAATAAAAGTGTGCTAATTCATAACCTTAATGCTGTTAAATTATCGGTTACCTGATCAGAGCTGATATTTCAGTTGCACGAAATGCGAACGGTTGCTGAGGATATGACGTTACTCCATATCCGGTTGACCGGATCCGTGCATTTCATAGCATAAAATAACACTTTTTTAATAAAGCTATGTATTTGTATTATATTTGCAATTATCTATAGTTTAAACATGCTTTACGCTTATTTATTTGAACTCCTAATTTTAAAATAAATTATCAACAAAGCTACATTTTGTTGATAGTTATTCTAAGACGCAACATTAAAATTGTATTATTAATACTGATAAATATGTTTACATTCAATAATGGAAAAAAAACTATTATATATTGGCCACCATAACGATCCAAAAATAAAAATCTTGCAAATATGCAAAACATAATGTCGATAAGAAGGTGATTGTTAAGGGACATTATTGACTGTTAAATGTGTTTATTGGCTCTAACATAAACAATTCTGCATGTTTTCAAATGAGTGGATTTCATGCCTGCAAGAAGAGGATAGCCTTGTTGTTCAAAACTAGCCATTTGTTCATATTTTTTATTTGTAAAATCACCATTTTCAAATAATATTTTAAGAACCGACAATCATGGTTGGAAACCATCCTAAAACGCAGGATATATATAATGAATGACAAAGACACATCAATGAATACAGAGTTTACAGTTTATTACCAAGATTTTAGAAAACTTACAAACAATTTCACAGCTTCAGGTCTTCAGGCACAAGCCAGTTTAGAGAAGACAAGACTGGCCAGTTTTAACTCCTGGCCATTCCTTCCAGAAAGATATGACAGGTGAAGAGAAGCAAACATCTGGAAAGTGAGCGGAGACTTACACATTCTGAATTACATTCATTTCAACAAGTTGAAAACATAAACGATTGATTTGGTTTGCATATTGGGGATACTGCTTTGAGAAACCTTTCCAACCACACGTACATAATGTCCTGCATGGTGAGATCACAAGCTAGCCAGCCAGCCGCATCTGCTGAGTACTTCTAATCGCCAACTATAATGTTAAATCACAGAAATACAATGATGTAGCCACAAGCCATACACATGTCTCCATTGAATGAAGTACACAAGTACAAACATTGAGTTAAAAATCAGCTCACCTGGTCAAATCCAGCATTATCTCAATATTCACATTTGTGACTAGGCTGGAACACTAGAAAAGATTTTCTGCAGATACAAAGGCGGTATGAAACTTTACATTATCTTGAATGGACATCTCATTTGCTAGTGAAAAAAAACAACTGCGTCGGCTACTTATTGATCGCCATAACCCCTGTCATCATCCGCGGAGTCAGAGTGCTACTGAGAATCAACAGTTAACCTCACAGGAAGTGCTTTGACCAGCTTCCATGTTGGAACACTTACAAACAATTAAAGATTGAGGAGATTTTACAATTTAGAGACAGTTACTAAGAATTCACTACATGTAAACAATACAAGAGGTAAATCCTCCACGTACATCTTTTTCTTTAAACAAGTGTCTTTAAAAACATTATTTACATACTATAATAACAAGGTTTGGCACTTTTTTTTGCAAGAGAAGAGGAATAAAGATACTACTGTATGCAGCAGACTGTTTTGTTGGCTTTTTTTTTGAGACAGCAGTAGTAGATACATCATAGGTTAGTCCAAGTAGCTCGGAGCACCAAGGAAATGTTTTGTCCTTTATCCATAAGTCCTAAGTCTGAGGAGTGCTACAACCCTAACCGATTCTGAAATCTCTAAAAAGGTGCTTTGTGTTTTAACGTGATGATTATGTTGTCATTTTAAACCTTATTTAACTGCAAAAGAAACACAGAAATGTGCCTGTGACTTACATTATTCAAACCTTCAGATCACATAAGTGCAGATGGAAATCAGGAGGGACATTTTAAATCTTATAAGACCTGTTTTTTTTTAATAAGAAACAGTTAAAACTCCACCTGCAAAAATCAGTATATAAAACTTTATATATTTAGAAAAGAACTCCATATGGAAAATGATGGATTTTCAAAAAAGCGCTACGATTATCACTGTTCTGAGTTTTGGTGAGTAGTTTATTAGTACTTTTCCTGCTTTTGAGTTTGTGTTCCTTTAAAAAAAAGTACCGAAATCACTTTACTGTACACACTCTTGTCTAATACTGTTATGGCTCCTGTAACACTTTCACATGTCGAGTGTGTGACGTCGTTAAATTGTGTCTTACTCTCGCCACTGAGAACAGGGTGTCGAGCAGGAAAAGCATCATTTAGGCGTCATCATTTGTATTGCAGATATTGTGATAGTAACAAAACAAAAAGGGTGTCATGGTAACACACAGTGAACACAGTGCACCTTCCTCTTCATGCTACCTTCAGGGTGCTACCATACGTCTGCTGCACCACCAACTGCACGTTGTCTAGAATAAAGTCGAAAGCCATGCTCCAAACAGACTCCAGCGACCGCTGCATGAGCCTGCAGGGAAAACACCAGAGATAAGGAATACATTGAAATGAGAACATAAAGGC